GCAGTTTATCTAGCAGAGAATAACCAAAACAAAACACAGTAGGCCCATTGACACTGCAGAAAAACCAATTTGAAAAAGCACCATTTTTTAAACTACCATTTGACAGTACTGAATATATAAACCCATACTGATATAGCAAAGGAAAAAAAAATTATTAGAAATCTTAAAACAAGCTTGGAGATTTAAATACAATAGATCCCTGAAGAATCTCACTTCCTACAAACAAAAATCCCTCTGGAGATCCTATAAACAAAATATAACCTACATTTAAGCTACACGAATAGAGATGAACTATAAAGCCACATTTTCATCCTCGCACTGATTCACACAACACACCACATGAGCCTAGAGGAAAGTATACACCGTAAGAATGGCAACAGGATATTAGGTGGATATTAACACTCTCTTGCCATTCCACCTGTCTAGTTACTCCGCAAAATTAACCAGTCATGGAAAAAAATAGCTGAAGCATTTATGAGCTAAATTTAAAGGTACACGTGCAATATCGCAACTAGGTACATATTAGAGATAGGAGACTGAAAACTTGCGATGATTGGAGAAATTGATTTGATGTGGACGTGGCCTTCCATAACAAATTGTCTCAACGCAAGAGGTGTTGTGGTGTAGTGGATAAGTTACCAGACTGTAGATCACAAGGTACGGGGTTCAAATCCCAGCCGGGTAGTAACGTGTTTTGGTACGAGGTTGTAAAAAATGTAAAACCTATATATATATATGAGTCTATGTATTAAGCCCTATAAAAACACAGATTATTATTATTATTAATTCCAAATAATCCAGAAAAGTATTATGCCTCTTCTCACAAAGAGTTGATATCAATCGCAACTTATTTCATATTTGCAAGTGATATCAATCGCAACTATGTACATATAGATAGGAGATTGCAAAATTGCGATTGATTTTGGGGGGTACGTGAATGGGCTTTGACTAGCTACATGTAGCAGAACTAAGGAGAATGAAAGAGAATGACACAGGAAGAGAAAAGACAGAATATGAAATAGAGCAGATTATAAATAAGAATATCAATATATTAAAGGACATCAGAAAATACTCAAGCACAAAGAGACATAATTTGTCTATAACTAAGTTTAATTTAAAAAAACAAAAACATCATCTCTGGTAATATGTTAGAGAGCACATAACAAGCTTGCAGACTTCACAACATTACAGCATATATAGTAGAAAACCTTGTTTTGCGCAGAGGGGAAATTAACTTCAATGTCATGCCCGCTCTCCTCCAAGTGAAAAGCGCAAGAAATAATGCTTGCTAGAGCATGCGATACACCTGCAGTGTATGGAAAGACAATGAGGAATCTTGTAGATTTATAAAGGTCAGCAAAAGTTAACTTTAAAAAATGTTGAAGAATGTATATAAAACCAGACATCGATGACCTCAAACAGTCATGTTGACATTAAAAGAAAAGGGAAACAAAATATCGTGAATATCTTAAAACAAAATCACCTCACAATAATGTCTTAAATGATGGTGATATTTTCAAAGCAATGTACAGTGTAATTCAATTAACTTATGAAGTTAAAAGCATCTAATTTGCTTTCAATTTCACATTCTTGTCTTGTCAAAGGTGAATGCATGCAATATATGACCTACAATGATTCTTGGACAGATATCCTTTAAGGTGTATAATTTATGGAGGCGTGGTGGCTCTGTGGTAGAGTACAATGGTCTCGTAACCAGAAGGTCCCGGGTGTAATACCAAGTCAGTGCACTAGTGCCCGTTAGTAAGACATTAATCCTCATTACCAAGTCCCTTGGAGAGGACTTAAAGCCATTGGTCCCATGGCTGCTTACTTACATACATACATTTGCTTTCTTAGCAGTCGGATAAAAAAAAAAAAAAAAAACTAAACCAATAAATATTAGACATTGATAAAGATTTCTCTAGCAACATTCCAAGTACATGTCGTCCATGCATTCCTTAACATCAGAGTATACCATCAGTCGACGTCTGCGGGGAAGCCTAGAGGCCAGCTTTCTATTACAAATCATCCCACTCGTTATCCACAATTTTTCCGCCAGAGGTAAAAGATGTTGTTGAAGGTGGAAGGGGGGGGGGTGGAAGAGCGTAGGCGGCAGCCATCTCTCATATTTTGAGGCAAATATTAATTTTACGGTCTGGCAGACAGCGCAAATTGAATCAGTTGGATGGAAGGATACCGACAGAGTATAGAAAAGCAAGGGCAAACGAGACCACTACGATGGTATCCCTGACATGACCTCAATCTAAACTCCCCCACCAACCCCCCCCCCCTCCTCCCGACCCACCAATTTCCCAATTTCATATTTATTTGATGCTCATCTGCAAAAAGGAGACAATGGAGAGAGAAAAGGAGGAATCACAAAATCAGTGCTTGCAGGTATCCAAGAGAAATTGTATATCTCTGATTGGTTGCAAGGAGATTGAATGGTTGTTATTGCCCGATTGGCCCGGAGAGACGTATCGGAAATCGTTGGCCTGAAACACGGTGGGGGTGCTCTCGTTTTTCTCCCGTCCTCTGACGGAATTCGGGAGACGTCGTCGCGACGTGACGTGAGGGAGGTATCTCCTTCGTGGGATTGAGTTCGCTAGGCCTGCCTATGGTGGTGGTCGTTGGAGTATGATTTGGAAATTGGGGTCATTTGGTAGGATTGTATGATAATGGTTTCCTGGCCATGCAGGCAGGCAGGCAGGCAGGCAGCGTGAGGACGGGATGGTAATCAAACATGGGGCAGGTGCTATATGATGCTGAGGGGGGTATAGAGCTACTCAGCTTGAGTAATCTTTACTTAAGGTAGGCGCAGGTGAAGAAGGGGTATTAGGAGATTAGGAGGATGTCATCTGCAGCTTCGCGTCTCTCCCCACTACCTTCCAAACCATCACAGACTTAACTTACTTTAAATCACAACTGAAATCCTACGTGTTTAAAAACGCTTTCTAATGTCATTTAAACTGCATTATTGTACCGGTATTCATACAAATGTAATTACATTACTGAGCTTTGTCATAATTTGCTTTCATTTCTCTGTAATTGATGTTTATAATGATTGATTATCATTAAGATTGTCCTAATTTTGATATTTCTTTAGTTCATGAATTAGTAGTTATGTGTAATTTTGTTGTCTTATTAATATTGTAAAGCACATTGTTATTTTCTCTGAAGATGAAATGCGCTATAGAAGCCTAGGTTATTATTATCATAATTATTCTGCCGTCTGAGAGCCAAAAGGGTGTTAACTCACATACTTAACCCATTTTCTATCTTCAATGTTCCAACCTAATAACATGGTTCATTCGTATTCAACAAGGCAGTCATCAAATTTACATGTGGTCAATCCTCACACTACATTAGCCCAGAAATCAATCAGACACAGAGGTCCAGATGTATGGAATTCTTTACCTAATGATATTCAAAATATAAAATCAACAAACTCTTTTAAAAGAGCACTCAAATGTATTATCATTTCACAGATGTAAGATATTACTTACATTATAATCTATTTATCAGTTCTAATTAAATCTAACATAATTTTGTTACTAGGCTTAACAAAATTCTTTTTTTAAAACTTTTTTTAAAACTTTGTAAATAGTGTAAATAGTTCACTACAAAACTTTAGGAATTTTATTTGTCATATATGATATATTTGAAAGGTGTTGTAACGATTCAAGCTCTATTTGCTTATGTTTCATTACCTTTGTGTGTTCATTCTTCAAACTGTATTCAAACTGTATATAAGTTGCAACTTGTCTTTGATAAAACAATGTTATATTCTTTTTCACGTGAAGTTAATTCAAATGTATTGTAAAATTGAAAATGATTTGTCATCTTATATTAATTTTTCAAGTGATGTTAACTTCAATGAATTGTGAAATTGTGAACATGCATGCATAAATAAATAAATAAATAAATAAATAAATAAACCTATGAGAATGACAGAATTCAGAATTCAATTGTCAACGGGTTAATGCCCTTCTGGTTCCCAAAATGGGTTTCAGCAAAGTGCTCACAGTCTTATACCTGTGGCTAATGCAGAGCATAAATTGGCATCTTAATGCCAGATATTCTTGAAGTTAGATTTGAACACGTACATGTAGCTAGAAACAAAGTGTTTACTTTTTGAATGTGTTTGACAGTTCTGACAAATAGTGACATTAAGAAAGTCAAATCGATGTATGTTTGAAACTCTGTTTTAAAGCAGGACTGCACTACTTGTAGCTACTTGCGCCCTCTTTACAGCCAACAATGCCTAAGCGGTACCCATTGATTCCCAATGGTCCCCTTTTTCTTATGTTAATTGAGAACTGATTTGATGAGATGACCACCTGCCATTGACCACACAGGGAGGTACAAGCCCTCCTGGCCTCACTAGTACAGATGGGCTTTAAATTCATCATTGCCCTTATACATAGCATGATAATCCCAAATCCATTTTTTAATCTGAAGAACTCTCTTCATCAGTTGTACTACAGATATTCTCACCATGTTGGATGCATGCTGACAATCAATTCCCATTGAGTCCATACCGAGAATTCATTGGGTATATACTGTATATAAAGCCTCGATTGTAACAAAACCTTCAAAAGATATAGATTTGACCCGGTTTGAACAAGATTTGATTAAGAAATGCATGTTATATAAGCCCTTTGATTGCCATGGGACTTGGCAGACTTCTTGTATGCTTGGAGACACGCAGTCTCATACGCTAATAATATGCCCCAAGCTAGCTTCTTCTCGTTACAGCTGTGTATATGGGTCAACTCTTTGGGAAAAATCTTTGGGACCTCAATACAGATCTTTCCACTCTACATATAAATATATCTAGGGCCCATGTCCCTTGAGAGGAACAAGGGCATTCATTGGCTCATATTGTTTTATGCCAAAAGAAATGAATTTTTTTAAAAGTGGGAAAGAAATAAAATCACTCTACCATCATCTTCATCACCTTCAATGGTCATTCTTAAAGACCTTGACCGGAGCAGAGCATTATATAGACAAATTATATACCTACGGACTCGTGAATATTTACTGAATATGAAAATGCAAACTTCTCGAGATTCCACGGCCTCTGAAAGAAGTATTTAGCATCCGAACCCCAGGATTCACGGATTTGAGAGGGGCACCCCGGAGATTTAGTTTCGGCTGCGCTAGCCGGTGGCCGTTTCTACCCGTTTCTGATGACGTCATAACGTGTAGGTTATTTGGCCACTCGGTATTGCAGCTGGTTCTTCGCATGGTGGTCGGTATGTGAAGTTTTCTTCTCTCTTTTTTTTGTTGTTGTAAATATCAATGTCGAAGCTGTATTTGGACATTTTACGATTAGAATGTTGACATTTTATATCTGTATTAATTTCACGCTACGTAATATGGAATATCAACCCCAAATTTCCACTAAATTAGATTGAAACGAATCATTTGCCCGCGCTGCTGGCTGCCTGCCTCGGTCTGCGATTGCACAACTTTCAGCAATCTATCGCTGAGCCTCGCGAGAGCACTCGGGCCGCGGCCGGCCCGGCCTGACTTGCCGCGCCGTGTCATGCTGGTGGTCGTGGAATATTTCTCGAACAAAACTAAGTTTCGCTCGCTTTTATCGCACAGATAGCCTTTCCTTTTGCATGGTTTACCAACATTAAATCAAAGAATTATTTAGATCTACATTGTTTTATTGTCTAGAATATAGTCTGTAAACAATGAAAAATAAGAAGAAGATGAAATGGAGATTTTGAAGAAGAATTGGGCCTAAAAAAGAAGAAAAAGAAAACTAGGTAGTTGGTAGAATCTAGGCCTTGGACTCGTGCCGCCCAGTGGCAGTGCACTGCAGTACAGTGAAGCCAGGAACTAAATTATTTTGAATTGATGTCAGAAATCACATGGGTGCCTCTTCTTGATACTTTCTCGTGATGAAAACACTGTTTTTATTCAAATCAAAATGGTCTAGAGTCTAGATCTAGTGTTGTTGCCAGGGATGATTATTAAAACAAAATCATCGGTCATTTGTTGTTGACTTTGCTTCTTTTTTTTTATCCGACTACAGATTAACTTTGCTTTTTTTTTTTCTATGAAACTAGCCTCAAGTTGTTCTTTTTGTTTGGATGTGGGTAAAATCCTTATTTATATGCATACGGTGTAATAATACTTTGAAGATGTTTGTCAAAATGCGAGCAAAATATTTACATTTATTTTAATAATGTACATTCAAGTTTAATTTAGTTCAATTTTGATCATGACATTCATATTTTTTTTTTTGCAATTTTCTAAATGATTAATATTCATTGTGGAATGAAAAAATAGTTTTGGCGAAGGGATGAGATGCTTGGAAATGCCGAGATCATGATTGCTAACTATTTAAATGAACTCTCCTTCACCTTTACCGCATATATTATATTCCCAATCTTATTACAGGTACAAAGGTGTACGACAAGCTTCGAGAGAAATGGCTGAGGACCAGACTGATGAACGACATTGGGATGATGTCCCCACATGCCCAAACCAGCAAGGTTGAATCATTCCACAACATCCTCCTTCACTTTTGCCCCAAGTTGCTTGTATACTCATATCAAGGGATGAAGTGCAGGTAAATTAGGCAATTAATTCATCAACATTATGCTCCCCTAATATAAATTTAACAAGAACGTCACAGAGGGCAGTGTTGTTTCTTCTTCTTCTTCTTTTGAATTTGATTTTATTGGTTTTATGTTTTAAAGTTATCATTTTCTTTTTGTTATAGCCAGGTTCTTTCTATTTCATATTTTGTTGGTTTTTTTTATTTTTTTTTATTTATTATTTGTAACACATGCTTTTTACACTAACTCTTGCCTTCACTTATTGGAGAGTAGGTAACGAGTTTATGATGATAGACATTACATTACCAAAAAGATAAAATCAACTGTCACAAGTATGTTATTCATGTGACCTTTATTTTTAACTTCACTCTTTTCAGATTATATTTGGCTGTCCTACATTGGAACGAAAATTGTGATAGAGCCCAGGCTGTTGATGCCGAAGGGAACCCAGTGTACAGGTTGAAGTATCCACGCTCGAAGGAAGGAGGCCACACAGTGGAGAGAGTGCTGACAGCTGGCACATGTGGTAAGTAGCCACATGTCTAGTGAATGATATCAATATTCAACAAAAGAGCTCAATTATATATAGAAATCTTTTATTACTTCATGATCAATAGAATTCAAATTAGTAGATTCTTGTGGCCTATATGCCCTTAATTTAATCTGTTGATTAAATTGATAATTATAAACATGTATTGGGTTACTTTCTGCAAATGTGTAATATTGAATAGCAAGCAGAAACAGGCATATATGTCAGTCCCCAAAGTCAGTGAACTACCTATTCAGCAAAGAACATGTGCATGCCATTGGTATTTGATTGGTCATCCACCTACAAATAGTGTGTAAAATTAGGTAATTCAATATTTGTGAGAAAAAGAGTTTTCTCTTCTTATGTTCTTATTTTTCTCTTTTCCTTTTTTCCTCTTATCAAAATGTATTTTTTTAACACCGTATAGATGAATTTTCAAGGTATAGTTTTGGATTTTATCTTGTAGGTTATGTGAAAGCCCTGATGAGAGTTGTCGTAGAACTGGTGGAAAACAGGGAGCAGCTCAGAGACAACATGGAGGAGCTACCGCCTCAACCAGCACGGAGTGCCTCTCATCATCACCCCGACAATGGAGAAGCCGTGCAAGCTTTTGAACAACATCATCGCTTTGGCGATAGAAACTAGTTCTTTTGGTGATAGAAACTATGATGAATGTGTCAGCTACCTGAACATTAACCACTGATTGTTTTATTTCAGTACAAGACATGTTTTTCATAGACCCTAAATTATGTTTATGCCAGTATAATTATGGAGAGTAACATGGAAGTACTCTATGCAAGTGAGTAGTGGATTCCGATTCTATGTGAGTGTAAAGCACTAGAAACTTGTCTGTAAGCTTGTACATACTTACACAAGCCAAAGTCCATGGTACACATCAATAGTCATTGGTTTTAATAGGTAAAATACTTATTAAATTTGTAAAACTTACATTTTTAGTTCAATTAAAAACAATTTCTGAAGCATATGCACTAGATTTTCATAAACACTAAGTAAATCACTGTTGATCATGAATTTGGCACCAAATATAATCTGATTTTTCTCACAGTCCTTCATCTTGGCCAATGCTTTTTGCTTCTTATTTGCAAAAAATTAAAAATTAAAAAATGCATTTTTTTTTCTTCATCTAAACTGTTCTTATTCAAGAACCATTTGATGTATTGCACCAGATATGACTTTATTTTTTGTTTTTGATTTTTTCCCTTTTCTGCCGAGGTGAATTGTGTTATTCATTTTCAAAGTTAGTAGTTTTAAAGATCATGCCATATTATCACAGAAGAGGAAACATTGTGATGATACTTCATCGCATCCATACTTTTTTTCCTAACAGCGGTTTCCTGTTTGTCCTAAAACCTGGTTATAAAAGATTGAAAAATAATCATCCTTGCAGATATAACTAGATGGAATTCGACTCCGCGCAGTCGAAAATGATGCCTCCGTTATAGAGCAATTTTACAAACCAAAACAGAAAAAAAAAATTGAATTCACGTTCAATGGTAATCCATTGACAGGTTCTCAGAATATTGTGATTACAAGCAATTTCTCATATACATATATGACCCTTTGATCTTTGACCTCATGACCATAAAATCTACTCAGTTCATTGGCTCTGCAAGATGTTCTGAGTTAAATAGTAATCCATCTGTCAGTTCTAATGAGAATGCGTTCACAAGCTATTTTTGCATACATAATGGGCCCATGACCTTTGACCTTTGACCTTATGAACCAAGAATCTACTCAGTTCATTGGCTCTGCAAGTAACAAACATGACCTAATTTTGGCATGAATCCATCAATCGGTTCTTGAGATAACGCGATCACAAGCTGTTTTTGCATTCATAATGTGCGCTGTGGCCTTTGACCTTTGACCTACGTGCTCCAAAATCTAATCAGATTGTCTTCCTATGGTGATACACACTATCATTAAGTTTGAAGTTTTTACATCTCCAGTGGTTCTTGAGATATCATGATAACAATCTCAATGTATGGAATTTCATAAATTGACCTCTGTGACCCTTGACCTTTGACCTACGTGCTCCAAAATCTAATCAGATTGTTTTCCTATAGTGATACACACTATCACTAAGTTTGAAGTTTAAATCTCCAGTGGTTCTTGAGATATCATGATAACAATCTCAATGTATGGAATTTCATAAGTTGACCTCTGTGACCCTTGACCTATGACATACGTGCTCCAAAATCTAATCAGATTGTTTTCCTATAGTGATACACACTATCACTAAGTTTGAAGTTTAAATCTCCAGTGGTTCTTGAGATATCATGATAACAATCTCAATGTATGGAATTTCATAAGTTGACCTCTGTGACCCTTGACCTTTGACATACGTGCTCCAAAATCTAATCAGATCGTCTTCCTATGGTGATACATACTATCCTTAAGTTTGAAGTTTAAATCTCAAATGGTTCTTGAGATATCGCGCTAACAAACTCAATACAAGGAATTTCATAAGTTGACCTCTGTGACCTGTGACCTTTGACCTACGTACTCCAAAATCTAATCAGATCGTCTTCCTATGGTGATAAATACTATTCCCGAGTCTTAAGTTTAAATCTTAAATGGTTCTTGAGATATTGTGATAACGGTCAAACGGGACGGACGTACGGACGGACGTACGGACGGACGGACGGACGTACGGACGGACGGACGTACGGACGGACAACCCGAAAACATGATGCCTCCGGCACCACCTTCGGTGGCGGAGGCATAATAAAAATAGTCATCTATCCTGTAAACTTTACATAAAATAAGGATGAATGTAATGTACATGTTGCATCAAAGTTTTTGTTCCAATGGTGCATCATTTTGAAATATATTGCACAAACAGAGAAGAAAATGATTGGAGGGAAAAACCGTCAATGGGATGTTCTGAGAATATTTTGAGCAAAGGTAAACAAAAATTCATCTAAAGGAACACAAATCTTGTTTGTTTATTTCTATTATAGGTGTCTTGTAGGAAGCTTCATAATTTAAAGATGGAAATTGCTGTGAAAATGAGAGTGAGATAGAGAATGTGAAGGAAGAAGAGGGATAAAGATAGATACCAATAGGGATAGAGTGAGAGATGTGAATGTGATGGATGGAAGAGGAGAAAGAGAGATTGTGAAAGAGTGAGAGATGGGAATGTGATGGATGGAAGAGGAGAAAGAGAGATTGTGAAAGAGTGAGAGATGGGAATGTGGAGGGTGGAGGAGGAAAAGAGAGGCAGAGGGAGAGAGTGAGAGATGGGAATGTGGAGGAAGAGGAGAAGGAGGGACAGAGTGAGAGATGGGAATGTGGAGGGTGGAAGAGGAGAAGGAGGGACAGAGTGAGAGATAGGAATGTGGAGGGTGGAAGAGGAGAAGGAGGGACAGAGTGAGAGATGGGAATGTGGAGGAGGAGAAAGAGAGGAGGGACAGAGTGAGAGATGGAAATATGGAAGAGGAAACAGAGAGAGGAAGTGGGATAGAGAGATGGGAATGTGGAGGGTGGAAGAGGAGAAAGAGAGAGGAAGAGGGACAGAGTGGGAGATAGGGTTAAGGTTTATCCTTTTTGGGAGGATAGATTTGATGCAAAATAAAGGATTTCCTGGATTTATTACGATGCTTACCATTTATCACACATTTGAAATTTCGTCAACCGCAATTCCCTTCTCTTACTCTCATTATTCCTCTGTCTATCTTTGTTGTGTCCATGCTGTTATTTCTCTTTCTCTCAATTTCGTTTTCTCTTTCAATTTCATTTTCTCTTTCTCTCCCCTTTTCTGACTCGGCAGGTTGACTGTATATGAAATGCTCAAATTATTAAAACAAATTACATTGCAGGGTGTATAACAAAAGAGAAGGAACAAGGCATGTTGTGTTTTTTTTTTTTTTTGTTGTTGTTGCTTGTTTATATAGATTTCAACATTCTTCCTCATAAGAAATCGTTGCTTGATCACAGTTTTGCAAAAGTTCGAATATCAGCTCTTGGAAATTAGAATCAAATGTCGAGATCAAAGTTCATAGCAACCATACCATCATGAGAAGTTCAAACAATAGTATTTGTGATGAATATGAAGATGAAAGCCGATGATCACAAATAACGTACAGAAGATGGCTGACAATCACATAGAAGATGACAGTCATTCAAAGTTCGCAAGACAATAGTTGATGTTACATCCTCATCTCAACCGACGCAGGATGGTCCCTTTGTACTGACCACGTCCATCAGGATACGCTTCCATTATTGAGGCATGGACACATGCTGGCAGTTGCACCCTGATGTCCTTCCCGAGCCAGCCCCAACACCATCTCACGACTTTCCTGTAGGCCACATACCTGTATTTTCTGTAAAATAAAAAGCAATAAAAAAATTTCATTATTTTTCTTAGGATAGATGATTTGATGTCAAAATATTAATTCTTTATTAATTAATTCAGGAAAATAAAAATGATTAAAAAAAACTAAAATGACCAAGGGTTAGTCATTGTTTGTCGGGCGGTGGGGGGCAACATTCAAAATCGCATATAAAGTTTGTGTTTCATAACTACAGATTATTGGGGGGGGGGGGGGGGGGTAACATGCTAAAACTCACAAACCGGTGGTCATTCTTGCCTATTTGTATACATTTCCTGAAAAAGTGCCCCGAAGCACCTGCAGATAAGGCAGCTAGTACACCAGTGGTCACCAGGCAAGAATTTTGGTCAAAACTAGTAATTCATCTTGCGGTGACTCCATTCGTTTTGAAAAGTTTCACCCAATAAACTTTCAAAATCAATCCATTTATTTTTTTGCCCTTGCCAAAATGATGAAAAGGAGAAACATAACTTACTCATTGTTCCTGTCCCCAAATGCTTTGGCTGCTCGGCGCCACCTATCTGTGTACTCCATCCATCCGATGTACAATGTTGTCGCATTTAGGATGGCCGGCTCAAACTCCTCAGAATCCACCAGACAACTTGAACCCTGTCGATCAGCCTCTGCCTTGACCTCTGCAATTTCCTGACAACAGACACAATCACCTTCATTGAAAGATGGAGGCACATGACATCTTCCACATGTACACCTTGAAATACAGAAAGATTCAAACAAAAATCAATACACCTACTATAATTTTATAAATATTTTATTACAGCTTCCTGATAAATATAAAAATGACATCGTTCTCGTAGTCGTAGTATGGTAAGAGTGCCCAAGGCAGTGCCTATGTCTGCGCACCCACGTAAATGCGCGATATTTATAGAACAAAACATCAAACTGACACCAATTTTCAATCTTAACCTCAACAATTCATTTAGATACCAAAATTTGTGAAAATAATTGGGAAGATTAAAAATGAGTTTTAGCAAGTTTCATTTGCCACCCTGAAAATTTCAATCATTGTCAAAAAAGAAAAGTCTGAACAGGGGGTTGTCCCTGGTATGAAACTTCACTGTGCTTGATTGAATTGCGTGCAAAATAGTGAGTGCGCAGACATGGGCACTTTTCAGTTTTGCTACACAAAATGACGAGCCCGTCTGAAATTCGTTAAAAAAAATTGTTCTTGTGAATAATTTGTCGAGTTTTTTTGTTTCAGTAATCATTAGAATATGAAGAACGGAATAACAATGATGATTCTAAAAATAATATCTTACTGTGTAATGAAATCGAGGTCGAATTTTAGGTGCGCAGACATAGATCTAGAGAATCATTTTAACAAGTTAACTTTAGAATTAGACATGCCATGATTTATGACCGAGTCTAGAGATCTACGGTATTTGATTTCAATTTGGGGGGGGGGGGGGAATAAATATTTAGAATGCACAACAAATTCAATAAGCTTATAAGTCTTAATTACCAATCCTCGACATTTTCATGAAGCCGATTTGCGTTGTTGGCCCTTCCAGCATCGCCAACATTTTGCCCAGGTTCACCACGAGGTAATTAAAGGCTCATACATACTCCCACTCGACGATACGCCCGTGTTCTCCGGCGTCTGCATCACTTGCATCGCTGTCGGTATCACTGCTGCTGCCAGTACTGTCCGGACTGTCACTACTACCACTGACACTGTCATTTTCACCGCTTTCCCCGCAACTGCCATCCTCCTCACACTCAAATTCCATAACTAAATCATCTTGTGCATCTGCCCTGACGACTGGGGTAGCCATTCTCTTTAGAAAGACTTCTCAAAACTTCTCAAACTTCAATCGATAAAAAGCAGAAAGGATTCACGGTACGCAAAATCAATGTAGATCTCGAACATCGCGCGGCGAAGAATTATAGCAAACAATTCGAGTCTACACGAAATGACGTCACCCAAGTCCGTGCGGCGCGGGGGCTCTTGACCGAGGCGAATTTGGGAGGGGGCGGCAGTTGTACTGTAATTTTCATTTTTCTCAGTAATGAAAGGGTATTTAATTTTTTCTTTCTTGTATTT